GCGCCGCCTGAGCCGGCATGCCCGCCCAACGGTGCCAGGAGGCACGTTGCACAGCCGGGCGCAACCGCGCCGGACTCGCAGGCGCGAGCCTTGGCCAACTGCCAAAGGAAGGGAACGGCGTCTCGGCTGAAGCTGCCGCCCACCTCCAGGCCAAGCACAACAAGTTTGCAACGGCGAGCGACTGCAAGTTCCGGGTCATGTGCCTCTGCCATTGTGGGGTTGGGTGGTCTCAACCTGCAAAAGCATCGCATGTTTCGCGCGGCCCTGCCCGGAACATGCTGTCGAAGAAACCGCGCCTACCTCTCGCGCTCGAATGGTGGGGCCATTCGGGCCGCCATCCTCACCCACATGATTGCTAAATGCAGGCGTATTTCAGGCGTGCTCAGTCTGTGGGCTCGTCTAACAACACATAGGCACGTATGCTGTCGCACAGGCGCTCCGCCCATGCGAAGACAGTTTGATTGAATGCAGCGACGCCATACCTTTGTAGGTTGCAGCCACATGGTAATTGTTTAATGACCCCACAACATCTAAAGCAAGTTTGCACACTTCTGTGGCGCAGGTGTGTCAAGGTCTACGGCGTCGTTGAAAAAAGACAGCAGTTTTAACTGAAAATAAAATTCGAAGCACACACGCTTGCACATCACATTTTCCGACGGCAGCTGTGCATGTTGGAAAATACAACATGATTTGTCACAGTTCGCCTTTCGCAATACATGTTCGTGCCTAATAGGACACGGGCGTGGGATGCAAACAATCTGACGCCGACCCCGAGCATGGAAAGCCTCCAATTTGCAAATGTCGGCCCTCGGGCTGCCCCAGAGTTTGTACTTGTAGGTGTTATAGCGCGGACTGGCTTTGGACGCCCGAGTCGTGCAAGCGGAAAATGGTGGAATAAATGTCGACTCGTCCAAACCACGATATGTGCAGGGGGGACCTCAGCTTGGAAGTGATGCAGGGGAAAGGATCTGGATTTTTTTTGGTAGTGTCGAACATTGCGTGCTTCCACGCCCGGCTTAAAGCATGGGAGTCTGCTGTTGCTAAAACTCAACTTGGGATGGAGCCTTGCCGGATGTATGTAATCGACCTTCCAACTAAACCAGGCACTCTCGAACGTGCATGACGGAACCGCCCGCGCAGAGCCGCGGAGCTCGCCGGCCTGATGGCGTCGTTCAGTCAATCAGTCAGTAAGCCTCGTGTAAAACACATGGGCAGATATACCGTCTTACCGGCGCTGAGCGCGTGCGAAGACAATATGTTTGGACGCAGCGACGCCAGACGATTTAAGGCTGCTGCCACATGTTTGTCAAATTTTGCGGTAGACCACGACACACTTTGGCCACAAAAGTGTATGGACTTGCTTTAGATGTCGCGGGTTCTACACCAAATTTGACTATCGTTTGTTTCACTTTGTAGATACTGACCACAATACGGTTGTTTCAGGACTCATGCTGCTGCTGGCGTCGCTGCGTCCAAACATATAGATCGTGTCGTTCGCATGTATTAAATAGGTGGCTGGAACATGCCAATGGTATCATTGCAGAAGCGCCTTCAGCACGAATGAGCGCAAAATGTTGCTGACACCTACGGACTGAAATGCCCAAACGTTGCACAGCCGGCTTGCTCGTGCGATTTCTGGAGCCGCCGTTTCGGCATGGAGACAAGTGCAAAGCTGCGCCCAGAACCAGACTTGGTAATCTCCTGCTTGGCAGGCATGGGGCCAGGCATTACACGCAGCGGTGCGTTTGGCGGAGTTGGCGGCAGCTCAAAGAGCGCAGCCGTCTCCGGCCGCACCTCCGCGCAGAGAGTTCAGCCCTTCTCCGGGAAGCTCCGCCGAAGCGGAGGCGGCGGCAAACAGGCTGCCACGGCGGCAAGGGTAACGCCGGCAAGGGCAACTGCAAGAGCAGCGGCAAGGCGGAGCAGCCGGCTGGCCAGGGCCGTTTTGGGACTGGGCAGTGAGCGCCGGTACATCTTGTCTAGCCGTTCCATGCATGTGTCAAATTGTGTCAGCATCGCCGTGCAAACACTGTTCTGTGGCGGTTACGCTTATTTGGTCATGCAATCTCGCACGCGGCCCTCGGGCAGGCATGCCACGAGCAAGAGGGAGTGGCAGGCAGCCGCCGCATGTCTCGTCCGGCGATTCCGCCGTTCCCGACGAGACTCCCACAAAGCCGCGCCTTACAGCGCATGGGCGACCTTCCCGCATCGTTGGAGTGGCTGGACACGGTCGTGTTGGGGGACGTGCATGCTACACCGATCCCAGAAACTGTTTCTGTTCGTGCCGTGCTTTTAGTGAGGCGACCGACCGTGCGAAAAGGGCGGAAATGGCCGCGAACCCTTATTGTTGCGGCACAGCCCCAGCGACTACGCCGATGCGCCCTACAGCTCGGCGTCGCCTGTTGTTTGCATGCGGGCCGCTGCGGGCAGACTGCTAGCCGGAGGGTGGGATGAACGGCCGGAATGGGATGCGTTGCTTCAGCGGGGCGCAACCGCTGCGCATGCCAGCGACTTGTTGCGCGCTATCCCACAAACGAGAGCACGCAACTGCTGCCGCTAGACATGCAAGCGTCCCTCATGGGGACGCCTTCACTCACCGGCCGCTGCCTTTGGCCACGTCCCGGTTCAGTGGACACAGCGAGACATGCTGCAGCAGGAGGCATTCTGCTGTGATGTGCTTCCGGCAAGCTGTACATCAAGCGGATATCCACAGTTGTTTGGGGCGGACTCTGCATTTCGGCTTCGTTTGACCTCAGAACTGGCAGGAACCTTCCTACATGTTCGCATGATACCTGCGGGAGGAAGCAGAGCAATCGCGCCAATGAGTTGTGCATCAAAATTATGGAGTATGGTTTGGCCGCTCACAGTTTCAGAACCTCCACGTTTGACATTCGGCTGAGTCCAGTCGGCGAGTGAGCTCTGGCCCAAGATGTCGCGAGCATCATGAAGCAGACCACCCAAGTAAACCAGGGAAGATTTGCATTCAACCGCGTGGCCATCAGGCTTCAGAACGTTAGAGACACAGCGCATGGGCTCGGCGTCGACTTTACGCCAATTGAAGCACAGCCCATGGTCGCCGCCAGCTCGAGCAATGCAGCCCATGTAAGCTTCAGCCCGGCACGCTGACAAAAAAAACCATGGTGTCATCTATCTGCATACACAACCCCAGCGATTAGCGGAAGTATGTCACCGAATAAGGGACATCCGGGAGAAACAAAATATTGCGTGCGTACGGAAGAATCTCGCCCACAATCATTGAACTTTGAATTGTCTGTCACTGTAAAATCGCACGAACCACGTCGCGAAATTTTAGCGGGTACACCAGATCGGAATCGAGCATGGGATGCCGGGCGGGTCCACGGTGTCAAAAGCTTTTTGACTAATCCAAAGCTAAGAATCCTTGTGTGACAGTGTCTGTTCCAACAATCGTCGAGCAACGAATATAGCGTCAACTGTGCGTTTCTGAGAGCAGAATCCAAACCAGATTCTCGATTCTGCCTTATGTAGCTGATTTTAAGCGACGAAGTAAACCGCAGCAAAAAGCTTACAGCCGACCGCCAGCCAAGAAATCGGTCTATAATTTTCGCACTGGCTAGGATCCCTTGGCTTGAAAACTGCAGCGACCAGCAGATTTTCCATATTTGAAATTAAGTTTTTTTTCGTAGTCGGCCCACAGTCTCGGCTCTAAGTGCAGCATTAACCACGACCTCGTCAACTCTAATGTCCTCACATGAAACAGGTAATCTCGGGCCCAGCACAGCGTCAGAAATGGTAGCCGTGACAGGCCGATAGGAGCATCGCAACAACGATTCCAAAAAAAACGGCGAATGCATCGGCTCGTTCAGCTGAGTCCTTCAACGAACAAACCTCATCGCGCAAACGGCCGTGCTTACGAAGGGAACCCTTGCGCAGCTTGCGGATTTGTTTCCAGTCACTAGTGTGCAGCAGCCGTCCAGCCAAGTGCTACGATCACGACGGACAGACTTTTTAATTTCAGAAGTCAACTGTTTCTCCAACGAAAAGTGAAGCTTTCCGGGGCAGCCAATGTCGACGGAGATCCTCCGCTCCTCAGTGACCTTCTCGCCGAACCATCGGCCTCCCCTCCTTTTGCCAGCCGCATGCCTTGACAAGCCCACGTAGTCTGGCCTTGGTCTTGGGCGACCTGCACAGGGACCGCGGGGACAGCAAAAAGGTGTATGGGGAAAAGAAAAAATCGTTTCCTATCAATGATACGCCGATCAATCGATGCCAATGTGTCGTCACTAATCCACGGGCGCTTAGCGTTGCTACCCTGTAAGCTCCAGCAATTGCCGGCCGCAACACGCATGCTATTCGTGATATGTGCGCAAAGATCACTTGCGTGCGAGTTTGCTTGCGGACGGAAAAGCTGTTCGGAACGTCAGCATGTGCTTTGCTGCTTTGCCGCTATGCCTCACGGTCCATTTTGTAGATGCGTGTATGCGCTGCACCGTGGATATGGGTCATGCATGCATGTTCAAGAAAGCTCGACAAGTGGTTTGCCCTGGTAGTGGAACGGTTACAAATGCCCGGTTTTCATGAGCACTCGATACAGCACCTACCTGCCCGAAAACAAGCTTGCAAGGAAGCAGCAAAACATATAGAAAAAACGCTTTGCGGCAGTTGTCGACAAAGGATTGAACGGTCGCAGCCATGGGCATCGGAAGAACGCCCGGCACGTTGATCACCAGTATGAGCAGGGGGTGGTCAATCAGCGCTCGTGTATTATTACGTTTGAGCTGTTTCTTGGCATTGTGGATGGCCAGGTTCCATCGTGGAAAGTGACGGCCTCAATTCCTCGCTTTGTAGCACGGAACATGCGTGGATACACATCCCCAAGCTAGTCGCCTGTCCTCCCATGCAGCGTAAGGCCCAGATGATTGGCAGCTGGCGGGCGGCTCGAAATCTGATGTGAGCTGGTTAGGATATGGGGAATCATGTTGTTGGATGGCTCAGTATGTCCGCACGCAAATCAGGATGCACGCATGCCTGGTGTGCAGGCCGCCTGCGAACATTTGTATATTTTGCTTCACGTTGTCGGTCGGGCAGTTGTTGCCGCAGGCGCTTAAAAACTTGTTTTTCGGCAGTGGCCGGGAGCGCAGTCGTGATGGATGTGTTTACACAAGTCTGGCCCGCTTCAGAATTTAATTGCTTCCTTTGCACGGGATAAGGATGCAGCGGGCGACAATGGGATGCTGAAGCAGCCGTGCTTTCTTCGCTAGTCCATGTGCGGGTCCAGTTGTCCGACAGTTGCAGGTCAAGCTCGTTAACCGTTCCGGCAATTGCCAATTATCATTTCCAAGGAACGAGCACCTCCTGGACGCCATGTCGATTGTTTGGTTGACCAGCAGTGTGGGGCTGAATCATACGTTTTGCAGCAACAACTACAGTGAAGTTTACAGTTTACGGATCCAAGCTTCTATGATCGTAAGGTGGTGGCGTGACCATATTGCAGCTGCAGACGACGATGCAGCAGCTACCGCGTTTGACTTGTTTGTGCCTGGGCAAAACGTTTGTGCACAATGTCAGGCAACCGATTATCAATGTTGCCCGTTGCCCATAGTAGTGGCCTGGAGCCATGGTAGCTGCCACGATAGCCAAGGCCACGGATCCAGCTGGATGTCAAGTCAATCTGTATGAGGCAGAGCAAACACAGGAGTTGGCAACATGCCCGAAATTGAGTTGTCGAATCCTCAGCCACCGGAATCGTTGCAGGTGTTGACGTGTGGTGCCATGCTTTCTCCTCACTTGCGGCGAGAAGCAAAGGCCAAAGCTGATGTTGTGTGAAGTGTACCTGGCGGCTAGAAAAGCATGATATGTGTCATGCTTGTGTAGGCAGCCATACTGTGCTTGATTTGGAGTGGTCGCGACCCAATCTTCGGAGTGCGTGTGCTTTTGTTTGTGCTTTACGGAAGGCAAGGCTGGGAAGAAAAACAGTTTGAAGATTGAAGACCAGACCAAGCCAAACAAGGAGACTGAGGAGAATGATGCCGGTAGCTATGATGACGAGACGATAGCGATGACGATGACGAGGACAAGGACGAGGACTACGCGACGAGGACGAAGAAGACGGCGACGAAGAGGACGACGAGGATCCGAGATGACGAGGATGACGAGGATGGCGACGATGACGATGACGATGTTCACGACGATGGCGATGCCGATGGTGATTCATGATTCGTGATTCGTTATTAATCAATCGTGATGGTAATTGTAATATCGCAGAGATTCACGAGGTTGATGGTGATTGGCGATAGCGATGATGGTGGGGGTGCTGGTGCTGATGATGGCGGTGACGCAGATTGGTAGTACGGAGAGTAAAGGTTGGGACACCAAGCCTGTTTTGACAGACAGGGTCCAGTGGTGGCTCGACGAGGGACAAAACCAAACGCCACAGACACCCAAACGCTGCCCCCCATGCCGAGAGACGAATCAGCTCAAAGGTATTGTTTGTATGTCTTCGTCCAAACCCTACTTCCCGAGGTCGCGAAGATGGCCGACTGGGGGTGTCTGCAGTAGTCGGCATGCTGAGTTCGTTGCTGTCTCGAGCCCAGCGCGCAAGCTGGTGTGCCCGATGCGGGGTGGAAGGAGCCTCGGTCAGCTTGCAGGCAAGGCCTTCACCGACTGGGGGCACTGGTGCCATCGCCGCCACCCTCCGAGGAATCACGCCTTTCAATAGTGCATGCTGCATGTCGTTGGTGCTGGTGGTGATGCAGGATATCGAAAACGACGTGTGCCGATTGTCGGGGCCTTGTTTGCAGCACGGGATCTGAACGAAACACTGTTGCTTTCAGATTGTGGGTGCTGAGAAAGCACCAGCCATGCCGGGGCGACGCAATTGCTTACGAGGCATGGCAAGTTTATGCGTTACGTGGTGTGGGTTTCAGCGAATGCTTTTCAGATCGAGGTTTCTGGAGTGAGCGAGATCTCGCTGTGTAACTCGTCATGTTTCCAGGAGCTCCTTTTGCTTGCCGACTTAGATGCATGTTTCGTGAAGGCCTCAATGCAAAAAGCCCTCAGTTGCTGGTGTTGAAAACTGATCGGTGATGTCCCACGTGCCGAGGCCTTGTTCCTCAATACATTCAGCAGCTCCCTGGGTGGTGACAGTGGCCAAGAGTCTGCTGAAGCTTTGCCGGTGCAGGTGCAAGTGATCTGGTATCTAGGGCAATCTAGGGATGCCACGGGAGTTGGGCCTGATAAATCTCAAGGGTCAGATCGCAGGAGTTCTCGCTCTGGCCGAGCCTACACGATCGTGTAGCACAAGCCCGTCCAAAGCCAAAGCTATAGGAGTAGGCTGTTCACTTTTCTTTAGTCAGCCGTTTTCGCTTGAATCTCCACCCTGGGCTTGCAGGCAAGAGGCATCGGACGCTCCCAGCGAAGTACAGAAGCGGCCGCTTGTCCTTTGTGTTTTCGAGATAAACTCGACTTGGCACTTCAAGCATGAAGCGATCTTTCAGGAACATGTGGGAACAGGCATGCTCGACATGACTCAGACTCAACACCGTCTAATCCTGGATAACTCGAGGATTGATGATTAATGGCAGTGAGGACCAAGTTGCGCTGTTGGAAGTTCAGCCTCTGCTCGACCAGGCTGTCGGGCGTGGTGGGCGCGGAAAGGGCCGTGCTCGGGGCAGGACGAAGCCCAGCAGAGGCTTGCGCAGCAGCATGGAAATGGCTGTGCTGGCATTCAAAAATGCTACTTGTTCATGGTCGCTAGTCGTCAAGACCTCGCGTGGAGAGCGCAAGGCAAAGAGATCAGCTCCGGTGTCACTGCGGCGGCAAGAAGTCCTGCACCGGACTCCAAGAAGGCGTGATTCAGAGAAGAACGGAAATGCTGCGGTCTGGCAGCGAACGGGATTTCCACGATGGTGCTCATGTGTGACCGGAGGTGTCAGCTACGACTGCTTCGGCGCTTATGAGTCGCCGAGAGGCGCTTGAGGATGTCTTGGTGACAGATGCTTCATCAAGCTTGGCAGGTTCTGGCAGCTTTTGAGACTTTCAAAGCCATTCGGGCCGAACAGGTGAGCCAGCCAGCAGTTCTAGACAGTTCTGGCTCGTACTGTTTTCATGGGTTACGGTGTAGTATTTTGGGAGGAGCGGCTACCACGCAGAAAGGGCGCAGACACTGCGGCGATCAGATCGTGGCATACCTATTTGTGCGAAGTGGGGTCTGGCATTGCCCATGGCACCATGAAATCAAGGCTTGACAAGATCAAGCTTCCTCAAGTGCAGATGGCAGTGAGGCGCTTGCTGTCGTGAATGGCCCAGCACTGGCAGATTCTCTCCTTCACTCATCATCATGCGGCATCGAAAGGTGTCTTAGTTCCTGAGGCGCGGGCAAGCACTTGAACTTCGAGATTTTCTGCGCATGCTGGCGCTGGCGAAGGCATGGCTGACGACCGGTGGGATGTCAGTTCCGTCTGCTGATCTCGTCAGGCACCGGCGGCGTTTTGTGACGGGCACTTGCCTCTTGGCAGAAAGAGAGAGATCTAGAGCGAGACTGATCGTGTTCTTCGGGGCTGGGGTCACGCAGGCTCATTCAAGGGAACACACTCACATTCCGAAAGGGGTCGAAGCTCGTACAGTTGCGACCGCAGGGGGAGGGCCTTCGGGTCAGGGGGTTGCACCTACCAGTAGCAAGCGAGCAAGAAAGCGAGACGGACAGTATACTGTACCCCTTCATTTACTATCATGCTCTCCCGATGTGGTCATCATGATCTGCATGTTTCAAGCAATGATCGGCAATTCTCAAGGAGATGGAGGATGACCGTGGAAACCTATCAGTCTACCGTTTCGGTCAACAAGACATCCCAAGCATGGACTCCCTTCCAAAAACTGGAAATTTTGATGCCCGGTGGGCTTAACTCGCCCCTTATGCCCGGGAGAGAACCCGTGGGTGTGGGGTCAGCGACACGACCTTTGTAAGTCCTAGAGAACGAACTAGACGGCGATTGTCCCGAAAGCAAGCACAGCATGTGTATGTAGCAACGTATTGGGGACATAAGTGTAGGCAGACAAGTGCGTAGTGCAAGTAGTGTAAGTAGTGTTGCACGCATCATTTTGATCTCGGCTCAGACTCTGGGATCCCGGTAGAGGCTTCAGTTGCCGGACAATTTGCGCCGCACCACAGCACCAGCGCCTCCGACACGCACGACCCTTGAAGAGGGTTCATGGGCGACGATGAAAATTTGCGCCGCGCCGCAGCGCCAGCGCCGCGACACGCAGCATCCCTAAAGAAGGTTCATCGGTCACGTTGAAAATGTGCACCAGTTGTGCACCGCGACACGTCCACGTAGAGGGTTCATCGAACTCGTGTGCGCTAGACTTCCCACGGCTTAAAGAAATAGATTAAAGTAAAAGAGATGATTATAGGAATCTAAGTAGGCTGGTGTTTAAGCATTAGGCTGGTATGTAAATATTAGGAATTTAACTTAGGCCAGCATTCAAATGTAAGTCAGTGAAGAGAAGTCAGCGTAATTAAATGTAAGTCATTGTAGAGAAGTCAGAGTAGAAGGTGTAAGGAAGCATGTCAGTGTAGAGAAGTCCAGTGTAGAAGGTGTAAGCATGTAAGCAAGTAAGTCAGTGTAAGGCCAACAGCAAGCATGTGGGTAGTGTAAGCAGGCAACAACTTTCTCCAAAGAACCCTTCGCAGAGCTTTCGCGAGAAAAAAAAGAGTTGACAGGCTTTCCTTGAGAGGACCCGTTGGCAGAGACGGAAAGGTGGGGCTTGCTTGGCTGCACCAGCTTCCGCTTGGTTTCGCACGGCTCAGCGGTCCATGGGGGCAATCGAGACAGGAACCCTTTGTCTTCTGGGCCTGTGGAAAGAAAGGAAAGAGAGAGAGAAATACCGAGAGAGAGAGAGAGAGAGAGAGATCCTCAGGAGGGTGGTGCGCATGGCGAAAGAGTGGGGGACACCGACCTGGATCATCAAATTGGATGTGCGCAAGGCGTTCGACAGTGTGTGGCAGGAGTCCATGGGAGACCTCGTGGCAAGGCGGGTTGGGGGGCTGCGAGCTGGAGGAGGGGGGACACCGGGGGGGGAACCGTGGGAGGCGCGTGCATGGCTTGCACTGCTCGAAGCGCGGGAGCTGAACGTAGCGGTTGCAGACGAGGTTGTCAGTGTCCCCCAGTCGAACGGGGTGCGGCAGGGCTCCCCCGATAGCCCGGTGCTTTTTAGCCGAATCATCGCCGACGATCTGCAGGAGGCACTTCGCGATGCCCAACCTCTGCTGGGGGACAACCGTGGCCCTCCTCCCCCCCATTCTGGGGGGGCATTTATGGATGACACGTATCTCTGGGGCTACAGCAAAGAGCACCTGCAGTACGCGCTGTCAAGCCTTGAACGACGGCTGGCCTCACACGGCTTGGCGATCAATCCGGGGAAGACGGCAATCATCCATAGTCATTTCCAAGGCGGGGGCACGTTCCTGATCGGGGGGGAAGAGGTGGCCTGCAAGCCCCACGGCACCGTGATCACGGCCCTGGGGTCACCAATCACCTTCGGGGACACAGTGCCAGTTCTGGTTGCGGAAATGCAGCACCGAGCGCGAAAGGCATTTCACAAAAATGCCAGATTATTATGCGCGCCGACGCCGCTCAAAGCCAGGCTAACACTGCACCAAGCCCTGGTCAGGGGAGCAGCACTGTGGGGGGGACAGTCGTGGCCAGTCACCGACGCCATCATGCGAGCGGTCAACAGCACACAGCTACAGCAGATACGGCGCATGATGCACCCGGGGCGCAAGGCGGGGGAAACATGGGCTGAGTGGAGCATCCGCACGATGAGGGGGGCAAGGGCGGCACTGCAGCAGTCCAAAGTCGCAAGGTGGAGCACGTTTCAGCTACAGCACACATGGGAGCTCTACGGACACATGGCACGCTCAAAGCATGAGGGGAGGGACATGTTGCAGTGGCGGAACCTCAAGTGGTGGGAAGCAGAAAAGAACAAGCCCAAAAGCCAGCGAGTCACGCATGCACACAGATACAACCCCTTTGTTGATACAGAGAGACAGATTGTCAGAGTAGCCACACTTGATTGGATGGAGAAAGCATGTAACATGCCAGTTTGGTCGGCACTTGCAGCAGAGTTCGTGCGTCAGTTCGACGTACCGTGGGCAACAGGTAAGCAAGCCAGCATCCAGAACCTAGTTCCCAACTTGTCTTCCGGACATCGGGGGGCACGCATAGCGAGTGAAGCTGAAGAGCTGACAGCTGAGCAGGCTCGCCACCTTGACATCTAGGGGGACCTTTCGTTCAGTTGCTTGCAAGCCCAACCTGTGAGTGCGCGCAGTGCTCAAGCTCTCGCCGACACGCAACAAGAGAGTAAGCACAGCAACAGAAGCATGAGGTGGCACCTACTCGTGCTACTCTTGGCGACCTCCTGGCAGAGCCGCGCTTCGGTTCAGAAGCCCAGGTCCACGACACCACCACGGCAGCCAGCAGACCCGCAAAGCCAGCAACAGCAGCAACCAGGGTGCTCCCCAACCTTCCCCCCCCAGGGGCACCAAGCAGCGGGGCCACTGCCGCCAGCAGAGCAGCCAAACCCAGTCCACAACCCGGGTCCGCCGCATGCCGGCACCGACCCCAACGCCGCAGTGCAGCAGCCACAGCAGCCGCCGGAGACGCAAACACAGCACAGCCAGCCAAGACGACCAACAGCAGGTCGAGCAGGGCCGCTTCCGCCGCCAACGAGACTAGCACAGCCACAGCCACAGCCGCCCGAGCATACGTGCAGCAGCGACAGCAGCAGCAGCAGCAGCAGTAGCAGTGACAACGCCAATGCCTGTCTGGACGCAGACAGTTCGGACCTATGGGGGACATGGAAGCCAGTGGAGGAGGAAGCGCCAGAGGACACAGACGCCACCGACACATGGCCCTTGCACCACCAGCAACCGCAAGCAACGCCCAAGCAATGGGGGTACACCCTCAGCTACTACCCGCCGCCCAAAGGAGCAGCAGCGCAGCCGACCGCTGCAGGCAGCAGTGGCCAACCAAGCAACCCAGCGGCACAAGCAGCAGGACAGCCCATCCGGAACCGCTGGGGGAGAGCCCTGGCACCGTTACCAGGCCGCAGCACAGAGACGGGGAATGCTCAGCAAGCACCACACACACAGCCAGGAAGCAGCAGTGAAGGAGCCATGCCGAACCAACCGCAGCCCGGCGCCACCAGACATGGACACAGCCAAAGCCACGCCCACGACCCGCCGCCAGGGCAACAGCCAGACACGGGCACGTCAAGCCAACGCCCGCCGGCCCAGGACCAACAGTTCCAGGCACAGCCACAGCCACACTTTCAGCAAGGGGACAACCACCGCCGGCCGGCGACCCCCACAGTCCCCCCCCAACCGCGGCAGCAACAGGAGGCACCAGCAGGCTGGAAGCAGAGCCCACCCACAGGAAGCACGCCAGCAGCGCAACCCCCACAGCCCCCGGCCGACAGCAACCAACCAGGAGCACAGGGGGACTCCCCGCCCCAAGCAGCAGCGGTCGCAGAACTTGAGGAAGACGGCCCCAGCACAGGGGGACCGGAGGAGAGGCGCCCTTACCACGAGGGGGCAGGAGATCAAAGAATGCGGGAGAAACGATACAAGGCTGCAGTCCAGCTGTTCTACAAACAGAAAGGCTGGGTCAAACAAGACCACCAGCATTGGAGGGACTTAGGCCCAGCAGTGGGCCTATTTGAGGAGGACAGCGAAAGCGAGTGGTCCAAGGTACTCACGAGAGAAAGGCCCAGGCGGTGGCCACAGCCAACAGCACCCACCCCCCCAACCAACTGGGGGGACCTCCTCAACCGTCACCTTCTGCCTAGGGACGGGGACAAGCAAGCAGCTCAGCAGCCGCCAGCGAGCCACGAGGAGCAGCCGCAGCAGCCACAGCAGGGGACAACAGGGGCAAGCAACAGCAAGCGGCAACAACAAAGGACAGCAGCAGGAGGCAGTGGAGGGCCCAGCACCAGACGACACAGCCGCAGCACAAGCAGAGGAAAGCAGCATGGAGGGGAACTTCAACCACCTCCTCCTCAGCCATGGCAGAGGGCAGAGACCGGCCACAGCTCCCCCAGAACTACCCATAGGGCGAGGGGTCACACTCCACATGCGCTCGGGGCCCTACGGCATCTGGGCCGCGGTGACCACCTACTCGGGGGCTACGTTTGCAGCAGACTACAGTCACCAGCCAGCCCGCAGCTACACCAGAGCACGACAGACACTGCGGGACGACGAGCCAGCCGAGCGCCTACATTGGGGTCAATACAGCGTTCGCCCTCCTCCCTTGGGGGGACATCCAACAAGGGGCGCCAGAGAAATTCCTTATGTGGGTCACAGCCACAGGGGGACATCGGGACCCGGATGGGGCTGAAATGCAGCCGGGAGACGCTTATCTTCTCGAATGGGACAGAGCAGAGCAGCGATGGCGGCCAGGCAACCTTCCTAGGAAGGTCGCGCAGCAGTACGACTGGGGGAGGCAGAGGCACGCCAGCAATCACCCGACTGCCACCCCCGGGGGCAACATACCCACTGGGGCAATGGGAGCAGATGGCCCTGAACCTCATCCCCGGGCCGTACACCTTGGGGGGACAAGCCAGCAGCAGCAGCAGGGGCACAGCACCGACGCCGCAGCCGCAGCCAGCACCCACTCCGCCCCCGGAACTCAGACAGCAGCGTAGAAGAAACACTGAAGCGGACCAGCCTTCGCTCATGCAGCAACAAGTAGCTCAGACGCAGTTAGATGACACGTTAGGGCAGCCGAGCCATGCAGCTGGTTCCTCTATGGGGGCCCAAGCGACGCCACCAGCGACGGGGGCCCTACCTGGGGAAGTTGCTTTGATGTTGCGCTGGCTCCGCGAGCTGGCTGCATGGACAGCCCAACAGCAACTGCCGATGCAGCTGCGCTATGAACTGGAGTCAGCTATGGCCGTCATAGGGGACTGCCTGCAGCACGCCAGGCAGCAACAAGGACCAGAGCCAGGAACGGGGAGAAAGCGGAAGCCAGAGAACCATGTCCGGGACGCAAAGCTCAGACTTCTGGACATCTGCGATGAGGGGGAAGAAGACCCCAACCAGCACCAGATCTACGAGGACCTCAACGTCATCAAGAAGATGCTGAGGGGACAGAGCAGTTCCTTCGTACCACCCGAGGGCAAGGGGGCACACTCCTCAAGCAAGAGGGAGAAGGCCTCCAACAAGCCTTGGCCGCATTGGAAAGAGCGCAGTCTTCCACCATGGAGGGAGACTTGGACTGGTGCACCAGTGGCTGGGGGGCAGCCGTGGCAGTGCTTCTCGAGGAGGCGCAGGAGGCTATAGGCGAGAACGACGAGCTGCAGTTTGTCCACAGCGCAGACGTGGTGGGACTCAGTCAAGGGGGCCAAGAATGCCCTCGCCGACCGACAGACCCGAACCAATGCCTGGAAGCAATCCTGGGGGACATCCGGGCAGCCCTTGGGTTCTTGTCAGCGGGGCCACACTCGCAAGTCCTCAATGTGCTCGCGGCCGTCGCAATGTGGCAGTCGCAACAAGCAGCCTACACGGTGGAGACGCAGAGCACAGAAGGGGGCGACGAAGCAACAGCCTTGCCGACCACCACAATTGAAGAGCAAAGGGGGGCCAGATGGGTCCCGCCAGTGGGCGCTGAGCAGTGGTCGGGGAGCATCCCCAGCTCCGCAGACGACCAGGCAGCAGACCGCAGCACAGACGAAGGGGGACCCACCGATGCAGAGCTGCTCCAGGCCATGGAGGAGTACGAGAGACAACAGGCAGAAGAGGACATGGCGGAGGCAGCGCAAGAAGCTGGCTCACTTTTCTCACGACGCCGTACTGAGGGAGGGGGCACTGAGAGCCATAGACGACGTAGGCTACATGCGGGGGAGCCGTGAGCCGCGAAACCTAGAGCATTTTGTCATGTGTGTTAAGTAGGTGAGCTGGTGTGCAGGCTGGGAACACGGGCTCAGTACAGAAGGCTCCCGCGTCGACCAGTAGGGCACCGAAGCAGAGGGGACATAGGGGAACAGTTTTGTTAGGCTGTGCACTTGTACTTGTGGCATGTTGCATGTTGTTGTGAGAGTGTCGCCTCGGCCGGAGCCTCAGTGCACAGTTTTTGCCAGAGCAGCTACAGTTGGGGGCTACCTTCAGCATTAGGCTAGTGTGCTGCGGTTGGGGACAAGTGTGAACTAGTTGCTGCTCAGAACCAGGCAGTTCCGGACCAGTTGCGTAGTAGGGGGTCACTTTGAACTGTCATGTGCTGTTGTCTTGCAACGAGGGGTCACCGGAACAGCACGAGATGTCAAAGCGGCAATAAGCTGCGAGCTGACAAACAGAGCAAGTTGTAGCCCCAGTGACGAGGCCGGTGGGTACTTAGAGTACGGGGATTTAGAAGGTTGTAGTGTACGGGGTCATGGGGGTATAAGAGTGCTCACACACCGGCCTCATCGGGGGGCAAACTCTCACACAGACTGACAAGACCAGTGCGCGCACGCGCGCGGGAGGGGGGGCTGCCCTCCTCTTTGGCTGTGCAGAAGAAGAGAGAGAGAGAGAGAGAGAGAGAGAGAGAGAGTGAGAACTGCCTTCTGTCCTTCTGTAATACCTTTTCGTACTGTGGGGGACACGCGATGTCGCTCCCAAAGCCCCATAACACATGGGGGGGCCTTGGTGCCCGGGGGATTGGACAAATCCCCTAAGCCCAACGGAAGGGGAGAGAGTGAGAGAGTGTGAGAAAGACCGGAGGTGCGAACTTGGGGGGGGGGTCTTCAAAACGGGGTTTCGGCCTTCACACCCCTAGCAACCAGTTATGTTTCCGACTAGACACAAATGCTTCCGATCCTCTAGCATTCGTGGAGCACTCACGAGGCGGATTTTCGAAGCTTGGATCACTGAACGTGCGGGGAGCTTAAAGCAGCAAGAACCACACGTTTTTTGTGTTGGCGAATTGATGTAAGATCGGACCCCGCCTCAAATCGGCATGAATGTTGTTCCGCGAGCTGCGGAAAGCATGGCTTGCCAATCGAGCTGGATGCGTTGCCTAGGTTCAGTTCACCGATTCGGAGCTCATAAAATATCGGTTAGCTTGGGTCTCAGCTGAAACACAGACACAGAGGCAGTTTTGATGATAGAAATCAGCCGAGGACAAGCCGCTTCCAGCCTGCGACCCTGCTTCTGGTCCTTTCCGTGTAGGTCATTGGCGGCTGTGTCACGCTTGGCGAGTCCAAAACGAATGAATCTTGACAAACAGATCATGTTTCCTCCACTGTAGAGCCTTGTCAAGATTCTTAGCCCGAAGGTGTCTGCCGGAGCCAGCCAAGTCTCTAAGGTGTCGCTAGCAGGTGCATTGGGATCGAACAGTGGCTCGGAAGCTGGACGCAGGCGCTTGCAGGCGCTGGCATGCGCTGGCCGCCGCATGGCTAAGAAGTTTCACAGCCCAGATTTGCAGCCGCCTTCTGTAGGCGCTGATGAGGCGCGCATGGGCTCCCAGCACCCAGGCCGGGAGTTCGCAGAGACAGTTCGCTGTCAGCCTGAGCGTTGCAGGCGTGGCTGCAGCGTCAGCGTTGTGCCCTGACTGGGGACACAGAGAAGTCCTACCAAGCCGATCACCGAGCCTCTGTTGAGTTTGTTGCTGGGATCCAGTGCTGCAGTTCTGTGTTTGTTCGTTCGGTTTTGGTCAAGGCATCCCCTGCAGCCAGCCAGGGTCCCGGCCACCGCAGGCCGAGCCAAGCTTGCCTGTAGAGAGCGAAACTTGATCGAGGTCCCAAGAGCAGCGTCCGCGGCCTTCGGCCAAGTTTGCAGCAGAGGTCCAATCCATGGCCAGCAGCTAATGCGCAATCAGGTGACTATGCGCTAACCCTGGAGCAGATGGTTGTCCAGGCAGATGCTTTGCAACTTGCCCGTCGTGATATTCAGGGAGGCATGCCTGCTTGGAGGGTGTGCTGCCGGGAGAGCTGGCAACAGCAGCGGCCAGAACCTTCGGCCCCTTGGTGGAAACCGCCTGTCCGGCAGATACGCGTAAACCATCGCGAGCCGAGCACATGGCATGCATGTGCTTGTACGTTCTTCGAAGGATGGGATGGTGCTCACATGGTCAGTGAGGGGGCCTTCTTGGAGCTTTTCGTGCCAGCGACCCCAGAGGCCCATTGCATGCTGCTAACGATTTCTTCTTGCGATCTTTGCTTTACCATAGACAGAGGATTGGGCCTGAACTGCACACGGGACGTTTCATGGGTTGCCACGACTAAACGTTGAAGTTCTACAAGCCGTCATATAAATTGAGCTGTGCCCGCATTTCGTCGGCCAGGATTTCCACACTTTGGAATCTTGGCTGGGTTAGACTTTCTGTGAGTACTTTGCTTGCAAGCAGCTGTATTCTGAGTTCCACGCACCGGTTCGCTAGGACTTCATGCGTGCTTTCCGGCGTGCTTGGCTGTTTGTGACCGAGAAACAGGAGCGAATCGTGATTTGCACATGCCCCTAAACTTGCCGTCCGCTTCTTACCGGAGCAGGATTCCGTTGGGTTTCCATCGCCAGAAAGGGACAAGGACCGATTTGGCCGCTGTCGCTGGTCGTGTTGGGTTCAGTCTTCAATTCGTCGGCCTTTACGATCCACCAGACTTCAACCCCGATAAACCTGATTGACTACATCCAATCGTGTCAGGACGGGAGTTGGCTGTTCGGAGACGGGGAGCTGGAGGCCTGATGCCGCTGGGTTCGCAGTTGCGAGTTGTATGCATGCCACGTATGTCGCAACAGCTATGCTTGCGATGCAGACCGACCCCGCGAAGCGCTCGACGATCATGCCTGGAAGTACATGTTAGTGGCACATGGTACGCACCGACAGCATACAGCAGAAGCGGGAGGTCTTGTCGACGGTCTGGATATCTTTCAGGAACAACTCCGGAGGCCTAAACCGGACGTTGAGGGTTCACTGAGGCCCAAGCCTCACGATTACAAACTGTACTTACTGTAGGTAGCCACAGTATTGCCAGCGCTCCAGAGAGCTTTTGGAGTTGGAAAATTTCCAACCCTGAAAGCTCGTTGGAGCGCTGACTTAAAAGGTCTTATATCTTACAAAACTGGACACGAACTTTTTGTTGAACTGTTTGAGACGCTGGAGAGTGAACGAGACACCTAGCATGTAGTCGTCTTACTAAATGCAGAACCCAGCACCTTAAATCCACGCGGATACTTGTTTTTACATCTTCTTTAACCCCTTTAAGCTTGCCAGGGCGAGGTCCATTTGCCTCTCGGCCGCTTGCCACTGCGGCCAAGCTCTGCGCCAGCTGCCACAGGTAGGAAGCAAATGCGCAAGTTCATGAGGCTCTTTTTGCGATTTTATCGTCTTTCTGTTGGATACCGACGCCTTGATGGGGAACCTGCTGTCAAACAGCACTTCATGCCTGGACTGAACAAGAAGACACATCTCCATGTTTGCATGCGTGTGCCTGTATGTTGTTGGTAGGATACACCTGCTTGATCTGTCTGTCTGTCCGTCTGTCTGTCTGTCTGTTTGTCTGTCCGCCTGTCTGTCGTTTGTCTGTTTTTGTGCTTGTATCGAGATTTGTGTACGTGCGCAAAGCCAGGCTGAAAGCTGGAAAGCTTCAGAGCACTTTCTTCTTTCTTCTAGTGGCCTATGGAGGGTTTACCATGGTTTGGGCGTCCCAGGCTTGTGCTGAGATCCCGCAAAACCCAAGGTTCACGGCCCCTGCCCATGCCCGAACCCCCTTCCGGTGCAGGGGCCTTGGTGGATCCCTGCGCCGAGCCAGGCCCCGAGGTGCCCGGCCCCTCGATGGAGCTTTCGAGCACCCATCATTGCTGACTGCTGGCAGTTGTCGTGGATGTAGTGTGAAGCATCCAACTCGGGGCCTTGCTCGAAGGTTTTGGGGGCTCAAGGTTCTAAGAACCCTTGCAGATCCTCCTAATTTCCCCTGCTTCGCGGTTTCCATGAGCTGATCCGTTGCACTTTAGTTTTTCGGTTGATAAAAGCTTCCAGGAAAGACATGCTTCTGCAGGTGTCTGGAAGCATGGACCTTGAAGCGCGTGCCCTGCAAGCACTATACGCATTCTTCAAGTCGATTCAATCGAAATGTCTTCGCAGCATTGGCTGGTTCGGAGCCTCTTCTAACGGTGTTGATTTCAGAAGGCTCTGCTTCCTGATTGAATGTCCATCAGTATATGTCGGGAGAAGTTTCATGAACAAGCGAGGATTCAGCAGGATTAACTTAACAGAATAGTTAGAGTCGAAGGTCAGAAGCCTTCACTTCCGTTCATGTTAAACTTGCTGCCTTGATCAGTTCTACATGGTCTACGTACAGTGTTATCAAGATCATACCCCCAATCGCAAGAAGCTAGCCTTTCCGGAGCCCCTGGAGAAGCTCACTCTTCCTCTGCTTTCGGTGACCATTGCCTTGTTTGAAATTGGTAGACCTCCAGAGCTGATCATGTAAGGGCCTCCAGCAGAGAGCCAGAAGAGCTCCAAGGCACACTCGCCGTCGCTTCTACAGGTAAAGGTTTCCATGCTTTGGTTGTGGGTCGGGTGGTTGTGGGCTCGGGGGTGTTGCATTGAAGAAACGGTCTGAAGGCATTCCTCTCTATGGGGGTTCGCCCCTCATGCGCCGCGAAAGAAAGAAAGAACGAAAGAAAGAATGCATGAAAGACAAACAGAAAGAAAGAAATCATAATGAAAGAAAGAAAGACGGACAGAGAGTCTGCTGGCCACACAACATGTCGCGGCTCGCAGCAAGAGCTTGCTGTTCAGGGTTCTGTCGGCAGAGATTGTCTCCAGACCTTGACCCAAAGCGTGAGAGCAGCTCAAGCAGGGAGCCTTGCGCAGGAGGCGCTGCAAGATGCTCAGCTGCTACATTCGGCGCCTGTGCAGGCAGGTTCATGGTGTTTTGAGGGCAGTGCCCCCGCGAGTTGCGCGGCTGATTTGAAATTGTTGGATCCTGAATTTGCATGCGACTGTCTTGCACGTTTGGCGGCCCTGCATTTCCAAGTGGGATTTCGGCAGCAGGTCGGAATTCCAGGCATGCTCAACTTGCCGAAGCCAGCAGTATGTAGCCCAGTGTCCGCAGCTCTTGCTGGTGCCAACCGTTTCATCGCCTGTTCGAAACAGTCGCTGTACCCGAACCGTTGATGAGGTGCCGGATGACAGTGAAGACATCTCGGATCAGTGTGGGGCTGTTCTGCAGGCACATCAGACTCCTGCTGCCCATCTCTGAAGTATGTACATTCCCCCAATACAAGCAGCACCAGGGACTCCTTTAAAGCTCTTTCTGCTTGCTTCCAGGCTGAAGATCAGTCTCCAGGCAGGGTGTTTTAGAAATGCTCAGGTCAGCAGTTGTCACGAAGTCCTGTGCCGGAGGCAGCCAAAGCGACACGGGACCTCCGGACGAGGAGGGCTTTGAAGAAGGACAGCCTCCCCCTGGAAAGTTCCACAAGCTCGGAGATGAATCCTAGCCTGACAGTAGGCAGAAGCAAGCCTAGTTGAATGTGCACCTATTTCAGCCCGGGTAGGTCGAAGGCACAACTTGAATTGTGCAGAGCCTTCCAGCCAGATGCTGTTTCGAAAGACGTTGGAACCCACAGCGAGTCACCGTGGGGGAATGTCAAGGTTGACCTTCGGGAGGGGTCAGGGGCAAGTTATTTGATGGTACATGCAGGATTTGAAATATATGTGTTTTGCAGAGGGCGGCAGTTTTCTTTTCCAAGTTTAATAAGGGTGATTCAAGGTGAGATTCCATTAACAAGTGGTGTTGTGCCAGGGAGCGCTGGCGAGGAAAGCAAGGCGCGAAGTTTTTTGTCGGGGATGCTGCCGTGAGCAGCGTACGTTCCAATCGCCAGCTGCCAAGTAAAATTTGTGGACTGGGATGTGTCTCTGTGTTGGACTTGTGAGGACACTACCCAAACCGAGTTTCAGTGCTGACATGAGGTGGACAGTCATTCTACAGTGCTGCCTCTAAAGTCCTCCACTCCACATGTGCTTTTTTTCGATCCCTTTTATTGACCAAGCTTTGCCTTTTTTGCTGCCTGTAGGTCGCCTTGGATGATATGCCGGAGGTGGACGAGGAGGCAGCGCAGCAACACATTGCTCCTCGATGACATTTCACGAGTCAGCAACATGCACACATGTCGCCATGATTTCGTTCCGAACCATCTCACCGAATCGAGCTGGCTTGTGGTTCTAGGTAATAAGAGGGGGCAGTCAATGCACACCTGCAAATGCCGGCTGCTTATGCCGTTTGCAAGTTGTTTCCCGACAAATGTTCGCCTGTACCCATGACTTCTTGCGAAGTGTCTTCTGGAGGCAATGGGAAGCCCTGTGGCTCCAAAGATTGAGTCCGCTGCGGAAGAGGTTGAGGAGGATAGCGTCTTGTCACTGGAACTTGTCGCTCGCTACACTCATTCAAACGTCGCAAAGGTGTTGACACTCAGCTTGAGCTGTTCTCAGTATGGCCATGTTGTTCTCAGTATGGGCATGTTGGATGGAAGGAGGAGCAGGTTGGCTATGCCGAGATTATCCGACGAAATGTGTAGGCCTTAGCTCTCAGCCAGATGGCCCTAGGCAAGTTTGATGTCCTGTGAGGATGAGTCCTACACCATGCCAGAGGAGGATCTTTGCCTGGTAGACGAGGACATGCGACGTTTTGTTCTCCTGTGACCAGCTTTGCAATTCAAGAGCCAGCTTGTTGCAACTGCTGTCTGTTGTCTGTGGGATTTTCGGCTTACTCCTAGCTTCCGTGTAGCAGCAATCCACTGCAGACTCTCGGTGTCTTGTGAGACGGTATGTTTCTGTGCCGTGCACTCTGCGACTGAAAGTTGTCCCGCTTGGCCTTGGCGTGTCAATTTCTTATTGTCGTTTCAGAGCCCAGATATTCAGGCCATATGCTTTATGAGCCTAGCCTGCAGCCTCACGACGGCATCTTGTGGCATCTTCCGTTTGCCCGTGCGGAGTCGACTAACTTGGCTTGGCATGTGAATGCTGTGTAGGGGTCTCTGCCTTGCAGCATCTTGCGATTTTTCTTCCTGGCTCACGGACATCGGACATGCTTTCGTGGTCGGATCGTGCCGAAGGTGGGTTAACCTGCGTTTTTGTGTGATGTGGGCCGATCGGAGATGCACTTCATGTGTCGCTTTGCTGTCGTCTCCCCATGCACGTGCCCACTCCAAGTCAGCAGGTTCGTGTCAGGTGTTGAATTTTGGAGGATTTTGGAGACCTGCATCGGTGCTGCTGGGTTGCTGTGGCGAATGCATCGAGAAAAGCGGACAATAAACGGACCTGGAACCTGGTGAGCCTTCCCCGATGTCAAAATACTCGAAAATGCAACCAAGGAGACCTTACTATGCAACGCAGCTGATGCTGGCATTTGCTCCTTGCTCCAGTGGGATAACGATAATGCTTTCGTGCTAGGCTCGGGTTCATGATGCTCAAATCCAAGCCAAAGGGTTCGTCGAATGGACACCTTGCAGCAGTTTTTGTGGACGCGTGGGCTAGGCCTCGCATTGGCTGCCGTATCGCCTGCTGCTTCTTGCAGCACTGGGCCCGGGCAGAACGCAGGCCAGATCTGCGCCTTTGCCGAGGTTCTTGGATTCTCTTGGATCCTCTTCATGTCTGGTATAGGCCTCTGGCTCCTGCGGCAATGTGGCTGCGAGCTACAGTTCTTCCTTGCTGCAGACAGGCCAGTGAGCCACGCCGTGTCCTGAAATTCCGTACCTTGTAAGATCCCTCCTCGTGCGTGCTCACTAATCGGCAGTTGCAAAGTTTCAAACGAAGGTCCGTCACTTTAGACATATCCCTAGACCATGGTTTCTTTTTGAGTCGACTTGTGTTAGGGAATGAAATGCTTGGCTCTCATGCAGCTTGCTAGGTAGCTTTAGCTCCGACTGCTGCTTAGCGCCGGCAATGCCGGGAAACACGGAATAGTTTCAGGCATGCTCGTGCATCTTGCGCCTCGCGCGGGTGCATGTCGAAGATATCTGATACATATCTGTATAGAGGAATCCAAGCAGAAGGTAAGCTCAAACCACATAAATGCTGGGACACCACTATCACAAGCCAGGGTTCTGGGGGAATCCTTACCTTCATGTGCCGCAGGTGCTGCAGCTGAAGAGCTCCAGCGAGTGCACGCGAGACACAGATCAACATTACAAGCTGTGAGGGACTCAGTTAAGAAGAGCAAGGCTGCTTGATGTGACTTTTGCTTGAAGTCTCACTTTGCTGGCGCAGTGAACTCCGACATGGAAGAATTAATTGTCCGTCAGACAAGTCGAGCTATTAGCTTGAGCCAGTTCGGGTTTTCTGCGCAGACACTGGTAAGGCATTGTCGCTGACAGACTGGGTGAGCTTGGTCCTGCTCGCCAGCACCCCAGATCAAACGGAGTTACGGGTTCACCAGGGGCTGCAAAGTGTGTCATCATGCGGACTTAGGGCAAGCACAACATGCACAACATACAAGCTGAAACTCTTGACGAAAGTGGCTCGGTGCGGACATGTGCAGGTCTCGATCATCGCCTTCGTGATCTACTTGCTGTGGAACTCTTCTCGAGCTCCGCCGGAGCCGAGAAAGGACTCACCCGTCAGTCCAGAAGTGCCATATCAGCCACCATATCATTGCTCACCTGCTTACTTTGTAGCAGTGAACCGATGAGGGTCAAGCGATAGTTCTCCGCAACGCGGTCTCCGCTGCCTCATCCTGGGAGGGGTTACCACCCCCCCCTTCCGCCGACGAAGGCACTTGAAAGGAGGGGAGGGGACGTACCACCCGCTATATCATAATCCCCCATATTAAATAATTTTCTGTGATTTTGATTATGAGTATCATCGGGGAGGGGAGAAGGGGGGGGGCATTTGTTGGGGTGGTGGTGGTCGTGGAGGGGGGGTCAGGAAAAGGATGGGCGCAGGGGTGGTCAGCCCACCCAAGCTTCGCATGCCAGATCGGGCTTCTAAAGGTTGCAGGTTAAACACAATGAGTCGAAGCTTTTACAAGCAATCCAACGTGCAGGATGCCGTCGGCAGCCAGGTAATGCGCGAGGCACTTGCACAGGGCAGGTGACGCTGGTGCAGGTCTAAAGGGGTTACAGGATTTGTGGCATTGTACGCGTCATTGACGTAGCATCCCGCAATCGACAAAGCAGTATGAGGTTTGGCATGTCCTCGTCTCGTGTCTCTCTGGAACAGGAGCACAGTGGCTATTCTCGCAGAGGTGGGCAGACTTGCTGCTGAGCCGCGACTTTTGCGCAATATTCACCAGCATCTGCGGAGCAGAGAGTTGGCACAGAAGAACCTAGAAGTGATTGAAATGCTGGACCGCCGCTGTGTCCCAGAGGGGCAGGGCGTCCTGGCTCGTGGAGGATCGGAGGATTGCTTCGGTGCGAGCCGAAAAGCTTGGATTGCCAGCGACAGCCGGGCTAAAGTGAAGAGGCCAAGAGGGTCACAAACCAGGGCGGGGTACGAAGCTAACCCGTCCAGGAGGCCGTGACAGCAACGCAAAGGTGACATGCCTCTGTCGAAATTACCTCCGAACTCCGACAATTCTGGGGAGGGGCGTGTCCTGGACACCTGTTTGGTGTCATTATTTTAGGTTGTTGGACTT